TTACTGCACACTTCTCCCAGGGTTTTTGCCCCTCCAGAGTGTTGACACGAGTGTGGGCTGAGGGGGTTATTTATCTGATTTTGTATTTATGCAGACAATGAACTTCCAGCCCCAAGGTGCATGTTTCTTTTTTTCCCAGCTTTGTTAGTTTGGGCTTTTTTAAGAGAAAAATCAGGATGTGTTTTACTTTGGAGAAATAAAATAGACGTTTTGAGAAGACCTCTCTGTGAGGAAAATGAGTGGTAAATAAACCTCTCATTAGAGCTTTCCCTGAAGAGACTAATACAGTGCTCTGTGCTGAGCAGTGCAGTTCTGAGAGGAAATAGGGGACACACCAAAGTGACCTCCTTGACCCAAATGTTCCAGAGTCTGTCTACTCTGATCATTGCTCAAATACATTTCACCCAAAGTCATCCTCTTTGCTGCGGCAAAATTTCAAAACTTGTTTTATCCAAGAATTCAAGCAATGCTGACCTGGGTTCCCACCCACTTGTGCAGAATGGGGTTCAATGATTCATGAAGGCACGAGTTTGTTGGTTTGTGTTGCATAAATATCTACGCATGACAAACGATACACAAACAATCTGTTTAAAGGGCAAGACAACATTTTTCAGATGATTCTGGAATTTTTCTTTCAGTCTCATGGTGCACTGAACTCCTGAACACGTGGTACAGCCATCCAGAAACTGCATCTATTGCAGTTCATTACTGTACTAATTTCTGCCATACATTAGCTGAGTGCTCATTGTAAATTCTCCTATTCACTCATTTTCCAGAATGATTCCCAAGTCTTTTCAGTGAACGATATTCCAAACCACAGGTTATTATAACTATGAATTGCAAATATTTAAAATGAATTATGCAATTTGTGCCGCAGCCAGAGAAATAAACCTTTGTGACATGTGAGTTGCAATCTCAGCCATTGAAAAATGAATTGGGCATGAATTTCGGATTGTTCCCACCCCTGCAGATTTCAATTCAACATTTGCACGTGTCTTGCCTGAATTCTGATGGTACAGATCAGAGTTGAAATAGATGAGTATCCAGGGATAAAAATAGGGGTTCTGGCAATTCCTACACTTTCAGAAAGCAAACCTGGAAAACAGGCAAATCAAAATCTTCTGTTGAAGCTGAATATTTAGTTCTTATACACTTTCCCACTGTACACACAGATACTGCTCTAACCAAGATCTGTCTCCTGACTGTTTGTGACATCCTTAAAACACATTTTGCACCATGTCTTGCCCTGTTCAAGGAATGGATGTCTCACACTAGCTGGTGGAGAGTTCAAGAACAACACGGGTGACTGACAGGAAATTCTTTCCCCATCTTCTGGTTCATAATTTAGGGATAAAGTGGGGTGGTTGCCATGGCATTAAGAAAGCTGTAATTACCCTCATATCGTGGTCAAGCCACTGTGCAGTCTCTGCTCCTCAGCCCCATCACCACTGGGGCTGTGACTGGCCCCAGCTGTGCTGTAAAAGGTCTCTCCCTGCCTGGGTCGCCCAGAACATCACAATCTTCACAGACTACTTAAAAATAAATTAAAACAAAAGAAGGAATGAGAACTGCTTCCCTAGTAGTCAAAGTCTGTGTGTGGTCAGGGCGTCTGCCTCTTCTCACTGCTGTGTTTTATTGAGTTCTGCTCCTCCTTCCCCCCCCATTTCTAATACAAATGTGAAAAATCCCAAAATGGGAATGTCAGAAAATTGTGACACTAAAGTTATCAGAAGAAAAAAAGAAGAAAGGCTTTCTCTGCCTGGAAGGCACTCCCAGGTCAGACGCATCGCAGAGCAAGATCCTCAGTTTTGACAGTGACAAACACATTCCTGCACTTGCAAATGCACCAGTGAGATGGGTGTGAGCAAGGACAGAATGGTGCAGAGCTGAAGGAAAGTTTAGATCCTCTCAAGATTGGAAGTGGAGTCAGAAATCCCAGACTTACAGTCAACCACTCCTGACTCCCTCTCAGGATAAATGGCTCATGTCAGCTTAATATAAATGGCAAATCTCTGTGGCTTTTGGGACAGGAACTCTGCCCACAAGGTCTGTCCTTCTTGGCACTGCACCCTCTGCCAGGGTACAAAAAGCAGCTGTAAAATCCCACTTGCACAACTTCCCAGCTGCAGAAGCTCTTGGTCGGGAAGAAACAACTTGAGGTTAGAAAAAGAAGTGTGTGAGTCAGGTCCCCAGTGCAGCTCCTCAGTGGGGTTGGTAGGAAGCCAGCCCATACAGGAAGGTTTCAATATTTCAGCTGCTGGGCACAAACCCCTTGTATTTCAAAGCTAGCAAAGAAATGTATGTTATATCTTGAGAGAACCTGCCTTACTAAATTCCTCCACCATTCGTGCTGGATCCAACCTTTTTGGCATTTAAGAGAGAAACACTGAAGAAATAAAAATTTCTCAAGTGAGATTAACTATCCACAGACTACAATTAGTTGGTTTGGCTTTAATCCCCATACCTCCACCATCATCAGTGCAGAATCTGCACTGGGAAAAGAAGCCACACTTTTCTCATCAGTTACAAAGCTGAGGAAAACAGAACATAATTGCTCTCTGAAGTGCTGATGTGCAGAGCTACCTCCCTCCAGCACACGGAGGGAGGAGGGAGTGCAGCAGTGGGAACTGAGTGCCTTCTGCAGGGCTGGAGTGATATGGAAAGGCAGGACATAATCTAAGTCAAGCATGAGTATGTTGGAGAGAGTTGACACCCTCTTATCTGTGACGAGACTTTTAAAAGCTGCAAGTGGACAATGCCCTGTGTGGGTTTGGTTCTTACTGAGTCTTTGCAATGGGTGTCACACCTGGATTGGCAGGATTGTCTACACTTCCATGGATAAATTCTATGTGGGAATAAAGGGGTACAAGTGGGAGGGAGAAGTTGGAAAAGAGGAAAGCGCGCTGTCAGCTCCACAGTGGGATCCACTATTCCCTGCAGCACACCAGAGCCTCCCCAGCCAGCCAGGATGGCTGAGACCACTGGCACCCCTGGGTTTAGAGGAAACTCCTCACATTTGCTTTGGCCACCACAGGGACATCAATGTGTTTAAAAAGTTTCAAAATTTTGTCAGCTTAGGAACACTCAGCAGAGAATGAAGGAAACCAGCAGCAGCTCAGCCCTCCTGGAGGTGTTCAGAGACTGCTTGATCACTCTCTCTGGAGCCCAGCTCTCTGCTGGCCTGAGCTTTCCTGTTCCCGGGACAAAGGCAGGAAAATGAAGTCTCACAGAGAGGTAACAGTGCAAAAGCAATGAGACAACTTAGAGGTTTGAGGAGTCACTGGCATTGCCATCTGCAACACTCAGATGTCAAACACCTGCACAGACCAAAGCAATTCAGCTTCTGGGCTGATGTGCTCCCTGCCCTCTACATCTCCAACCCTCACAGGAGAGAGGCTGCCTGCCCTCTCTCTGCCTTGTCTACTTAGCAAAAACCATCCTGTTGCTGTGTTTGCCATCCAAAAGAGACACCACTCTCTCCTTCTCTGTGCCTAAGCCACTGTGCTGGTCCCTGCATCCACTCGGTGCAGTCCTGAGAGCACAGAGCTACCCTGGTGAACCAGGGATGGGAGCAAGAGCTCTCTTCCCCTGCAGGGATGTGTTTTCAGCCTTCACACCTGCAGCTCCCCAGCCAGGGGGACCAGCTCACTCGCTGTGGGATGGAGAGCTGTCCCCAACAAGGGCTGCTCTCTCACTCCTTACTGCAGCAGAGGAGCATCTGACAGAAATACAGGCTGAGCATGGCACAGTGCCACACATCCATCACTGACAGAGAGCTCTGGGACCATGGGATCATGGTCACCAAACAGTTTTTAATCAGCAGGAGATAAATACGTTGTAATGTCCTTCATGACTTAGAAAGCTTGAGAGGTCTGTCTCAAGGTTGTGACAAGTCCTGCCACATCCCCCATCCATTATATGGCTCAGGACTCTTTCTAAAACTTCAGAGATCACTGCAGAAGGGAGCTTGGGCAAACCAGCAGATCAGACCCAGCTAGGAAGTGCTCTGTGTCCAATTTAGTCTCCGTGAGAGTTCAGCTCTGAACACTAAGACAGTTACCAAGTCCTTATCCGGGTGTGAAGACTCAAGTACCCATCTACCAAAAGAACAAAATCTCCTCTAGACAGTGGCATAGAAACACCTCTGGTTCTATTCAAAGACTGCAGTTTGTTCTGCAGTTAACAGGAGTTAACTGTACTTCCCTCCCTCCCACCTCTGTGCTCAGTGGGAAGGCAGCAGTGTCCCATCCCAGAGTCCTCCAAGCCCCTCTGTACCCACCCAGTGCACCGCCCACACACTCTGCTCTTGCAGTGAACACACTGAGGTAATCAGAGAAGGGAGGGGATGTGAGGTGTGCGGTTCAAATTCCCTGGAACCCGAAACTGCCAACTCTCAGGACTATGTACCATGGCCCACACAAGGCACCCTGGGCTCCTGCAGGGCTGGGTGGGCTGGGGCTGAGCTACAGTAAAAGGCATTTTCCAAGCTGCTAAGACAAAGTGGTAACACCCCTCCTTGCATAGAGCCATGGAATGAATGGCTCACAGTCAGGGTGCTTGCAGAAGTTCATCCTTTGCCTTTTATCACTTCAGAGGACACAGCAGTGGCTGGAGGGCCTACAAAGGCAGAACCTGAGAAGGAGCTATAGGAGGGTTGTGATCCCTTTCCTAGAGAAGATGAAGTAGGCAGCCTCCCCAGGGTGCTCCATGTAGGGTCAAGTTTTCCCCTCTGACAAAACAACACCAAAATGCACACACGACTCTTGCGTTCTCCCAACTCTTTCCTGAGCACACCCCTGGAGAAAGCACACATGCCAGCACCTGTTATCTACAAACCCAGATTGCCTGAGCACCCTAAGGATTTCTCTTGCCCCCTCCCTTTCTAAACATTTAATAGATCAAGACCTTTCAAAGCAAAACCAATTCAGTACAAAAACTCTGGAAAAATCCTCTCTTTCTAGTGACTCCAGGCATCTTGCAGCATCCAAAAAAACACTCACCTTAGCACGTGCGTCGATCCATTTATTGTGGTGGTGGAACAGGGCACCGTCTGCCCCAGGATGGAAGGTCTTCGGTATCGCTCATCCCCACAGCACAGGATGATGAGGAAGGCACGTCTGAAAGACTTGTTCAGGAAGGCGTAGAGGAAAGGGTTCAACCCTGAATTGATATAGCCCAGCCACAGGAAAGCCGTCCACAGCTTCCCCGGCACCGTGTAGTTTATGAAAGGGTCCACTATGTTTGTGACAAAGAAGGGGGCCCAGCACAGGCAGAAGCACCCCATGATGATGCACAGGGTCTTGGCAGCTTTGGTCTCAGTCTTCATGCGGTGGGTGCTGTGCTGGTCCGGGGGGTGCTGCCGGTCGTCCGTGGGGGCCCCCGCGCGCTGCAGCACCTGGATCTGCCGGGCGTGCTCCCGCGCCGTGATGTAGATGCGGTAGTAGGCCAGCACCATCAGGAAGAAGGGGATGTAGAAGGCCACCACGGAGCAGGTAATGGCGTATGGCTTGTTGACCATGAATATGCAGTAGGTGGAGTTGGAAGCCTTGTTGAACTGTCTTTGCTGAATCTGGGGTGGCAGGAGGAAGGACAAGGAGAAGGAAGAAGGAAAGAAGTTAGAATCATGGAATCAGAGAATGGTTTGAGTGGGAAGGGACCTTATAGATCATCCAGTTCCAATCCCCCTGCCTTGGGGACACCTTCCACTAGACCAGGTTGCTCCAAGCCTCCTCCAACCTGGCCTTGAACACTTCCAGGGATGGGGCAGCCACAGCTTCTCTGGGCAACCTGTGCCAGGGCCTCACCACCCTCACAGTAAAGAATTTCTTCCTAACATCTAATCTAAACCCACTCTCTGTCAATTTGAAGCCATTCCCCCTTGTCCTGTCACTACATGCTCTTGTTTATTCTAACAAGAGAATAACCCTTTCTCCTCTTTACAACTATAATATCAAAATTATTTAATTGGGCGTGTAAGGAAGTTTACCTGAAGTAAACATCAGTTGGTGTTGGAACCCTGCACTCCTTCTTAACATGCAGCTACAGATATCTGTGAACACCAGCAAGTTAGAAGGAAGGGCAGGGCTTGCACTGGCATTCAGAAAAGCTGGTACAGACAGCTGGGTGTCTTTTCTGGAAAGGTGGGGTAAGATATCAGTGAACAAAATCAGATACCTAGCATGGCTTGTAAAATAAGCAAAATGCACCTCCCTTTCCTACCAGCTGCCCATCCTAAAGGTGCTTGATGGGAAGCAATTTTGGCTTTGGCACCTTGTGACAGCAGCTTGCACCTCTTATTCTCCATGAGCCAAAAAGTATTCATAGGTCCTTGACTTGGCAGAGAAGGTGCCACATCTCTTTAAACAAGCTCTTCTAAATAAGGTGTTTTCACAGTTTACCATTTTTAATTCCTACAACTCTACATTGGAAGAAGAGCAGATGTGCAACTGAAATCCTTTCTCTGTAGGCAGAAACCTGCAAGTGAAGCCAGAGTGCAGTGGGGAAAATTGACTCCTGCTGGAATTACTTACACAGGTCTTCTTCTTACTTCATCTTCTTCCCCTGCTGAGGCTTACACCAAGACAGGGAATATTGGCAGGACTGGCCCAAAGCACTATCCCTTCTGGGGCAGTCTGGGATTCCTGGCTCTCCATACATCCCTTGCACATCAAGGAGGGACACTTGGGCTGTGATAGCAGGGGCCAGAACTTCCTGAGAGCTGCAGAGGCCAGGAGGAACCAAGGACTCCTGAGGTGTTTATCAGGAGCCAGTTGGGGGTTGGCATGTTTTCAAGGGACTACTCACTGAACTGATTCGTAGAGGTGGGTAAAATCCTCTCCCAGAGTCACCACTGTCCCTGTGTCAGTCCTTTCAGACAGAGTCATTTCAAACCCCCTTAAAGGTATCCTCCAAAGACACAACAGCCCCTCTGCATTGATAACAAGGTTTCTCCTCCAGCTTCCTTTTCCTTCCTTTCCCTGAATATTGCTTTTTAAAGACGAATACACAGTACCAAAGATATCTGAATGGTGTATCTCCTTAGCTACTCACCAGATCAATGATGCCAATGCTATTCCAGCCTTGCATGATAGGGAGGAAAGAAATAAATGTTGGGATTACCCAGCACCCTCCGAGCATTACAGCGATGCGCAGTGGGGTCATCTTGTTCCTGTACACCAGAGGCTGGCAGCAGATAGCATAGTACCTGCAAGGAGAAAAGGGAGAGAGCCACTGTCATCAAAAGAGCCTTCCAAGTCTTCTAAAAATAGAATTGTAAAGCCTTTTCTCCAGTTTCTTTCTCCTGCCTTTCAAAACAGAGGAAAAAAGGAGTCTATAGCCTATTTCTGTTGATTTCCTCTTACACAAGGAATTCAGGAAATTTCCACAGCATGAGTAAATAAGGTTTCAGAGTGACTTACAAGGAAAAAACAGTGTTTTCTGTTTTCCAGCCAGGGAAGATGAGGCATAGGTTAATGCTGTGGTTTGTCTGAGGTTGCAGGGCAAGGGAGTGAGTCCATACTCAGCCCCCCTCACTCCCTACACTGAGTCACTGAGTCCTCACTCTCTGTACTGCAATGGAGGAATTTCCCTTCCTTCCATTCAGCCTTAACTGAGCCAATGTTGGGGTTTTCCTAACTGCAATGGACATTTATTTTGACAAGGCTTTAAAAGCTGTTACTGCAAAGTCTTTCAAAGCTGTGAAAATGTCAGTAAAATGAAATGTGTTTTTCCATAACCAAGCTCTCTTTCTGCCTCCCAGAAATCTACCTCTTGTCTGGCTGGGCTTTAACCTTCTGCCACAAGGACAGGGAAATATCTGCATGGGGCTTCTAGTCTTTGCATCATCAGGGGGATGTGCCTTGCACTCTCCTTCCTCCTCCAGATCCATTCATATTCAAAGTACAACAGGTCCCCGCTCCTAAAATAACAACTAGCTATGAACTAAAAATGTTTTCTGAAAGAGGTAAGAAACCAACTCTTCTGTTTGTTTGGTCCCTGTGCCACCCACCTGCAGGTGGATTTCTGCATCAGAAAGGTGCAGCTAACCTAAAGCTGGAAATCTCTGAGCTCTGAAAATCTTATATATTTATAAGCAGAGCAGATCAGCAAATACCATCCTGTTGCAGACTTTTGGTGGTCCTGACCAGACAATCTCTCTCAGGTTCCCAATGAAATTTTTTTGATATTTAGATTTTTGATGTCCCCAGACCTGCCACAGGACTTGGGCCCAGAGACACAAGATGAGCCCACAAATTCTCAGACTTTCTAAATAACTGAACGTGTCACTCAGCTCTATGCCAGAGGAACACATCTTCTTAGCAGACGAATAATGGTCATCCCAGAGATGATCATCATCTCAACACAAGGGAGCTATATCTGGCAGATGTAATTGTTTATTATCTGAAAGTCACCTGCTGGAAAATATACTTTCCACATTTGGGAAGCATAAAAATGATGCAATATGGTGCCTCATAGGAAACGAGCCCTGCATTGAGGAAGCAACCACAGTTTCAATAACTGTTTCTAAAGGGAATGAATGATCTGTCAGAGATTTTTTTTGAGTCAAGCCTCAACATAAGGTATAATGTGTATATAGAGGGAGGCTCACTGCTCAATGGCCATAACAGTTGATTTTATGAGGTCAGTAGAATCATGAATTAAGAGAAATTAAATTAACCGCACACTAAAGCTGGACTATGAACCTCAGGAAATGCCTGTGAGATTTTCTAAGTGCTAGCAGCACATTAAAATAAGACATATGTAAATGCACACATACACACAGTTTATGTGTGTTTATTAGAGAGGTGTCCTTTGAGATCTGCAATTTATTTAATCAAGATTTGAGTGGGAACCAAGAGTTTTGTCCTAAACAGGCACAAAAATACAAGAATTTCCATTTTTTTCTGAGACTTTTTTTTTTTAAAGTCATGTGGAGTCAGCTGACTTGCTTTATTTTGATAAAATCAGGTGATATATTCCACACAAAGGGTTGAAATAATATCAAAGTGTCAAAAGAAAACATTTTTTAAAAGTCACTTTGAAACAAGATTCAAAGTGTCACAGGGGAAAAATGTTGAAACAAGCATTCAACTATTGCAATTTGATAATTCCTACATTCTCTTCTGGTTTCGTGTGTGCATGAAAATCAGCCTGTTCCTCTGAAAAGTTTCACTTCCAAAGAAATGGTGTGTTTGACAGGAACTGTTCTTTCAGAACAGTGGGTAAAATGTTCCTCTTGTGGAACTTGGCTACGGCAGCCAGTGAGGCTCATCCCTGACATCCCTCCCATGGGGGACATGGAGAGGCTGGATAATTTACAGGATTTAGTTTTGGAGCTTGACTTCACTGGCTCATGAGATCGAAGATTTCCAAATTAAACTGGGCACAGCCCTGAGTGACCTCACTGAAGGAAGATACATTTGAGTTTGGCCCTGCATTGAGGAGAGGGGCTGGATCAGAGACCTCCAGAGGTCCTTTCCAACCTACATTTTTCTGAGTCTATCAGACAGTGAGGACCATTACGGTCAGATTACAATATGTAAATGATTTCAGAGGATAGAATAAACCTTTCCTTTGTTCCTGGGATAAGGACCCTCCCTATAAAAGCCACAACGTGTTTGTGTGACCTTGCCCTCTGTCACTGCAGCTTATTGCATTTGGATTTTCCCCTGCACTCCTGATTTCCTTTTCCCAGGAAATAAACTGACCTTTGAATTCAAACAGGTATTTTCAGCAATGTTTATTCGGACAGATGGTGCTTCCCTTGGCATTACGTGCAGCTGCTCCTCTCTCAGCACAAGGGAATTACATCTGGCATATTTAATTGTTTATTATCTGAAAGTCACCTACTGGAAAGTGCTGCCCAGCGCTGGACATCAAAGGCAAGTTATTGCAAGTCACAAGGTACTCCCTTTATTTGCAGAAAGGGTAAAAGAAGAAATCCAATAAAAGGATAAGAACAACCAAGACACCAGTTACCCTCTCGCAAGTTGGATAAGCAAACAGAAAAGGAAAACCACAATATATTGCTAATTAACTACAGCAGGAAAACAATTCTTCCAGGCAGTTTGAGTTATCACATTTCTGTACCTCTCTCTCTTCTGCAGCTGACAGCCTTACACTGAATTGTTCATGCTATTAAAGGCCATTAGAGTAAAAATTATGCCTGTAAAAATGACATCTTAAGCTCTCATATTTCTTCCCTCCCAGTGATTCAGCAGCAATTTTCCTCCACTTACATGTCAAAAGATTTTATTTCATTTCATTTCTGCTAGTGCTGCTATCAGAGCTTCCCTGTGTTCAGCAAGTGTCACTGTTAGGGGTAACGAGGTGCCGTGATCGGAGTGTGGGTGACAATTTTGCTGATGGGGAGGAAAGCAGAGAAGGACAATGTCCACTTCTCCAGAGCCCAGCAGGATTTCCCTCCAACAGCCCGGGGAGTCGGATATTAGACATCTTTGTATGCCAATAGAAGTCTCTGAAGTCACACCAGTTTTTGCAGTAGCTGGTGATTTGATGTATGTGATGGCTTGAGCATTTAAGCAGCTATTTATTCACTGGGAGAAAAATAATTATGACTTTAGGATTATCAATAGTTTCAGTCAAAGGCTGAAATAAAGACATACTCTATATTTTTGCTTCCTTTCAAGCTACAGCTGTTTTCCCAGGCTCATAAAGAAATCTATTATGTGTTGGTACGACAGTGTGATGGATGAATATAAAATACAATACATACACATGATTAATACAATGCCCAGGTTCAATTAAATATTAATTCTTACTATTATCAGTCAGGATCCATGTTTCTGCAGTTCCTTGAAAATGTTAACTTCCCTGTTGCCTACAGTAGAGTGGATGATGTGAAACACATCCTCTCCTTTGCCTCTGCAATAGCATTCTTTGCTGAAGGGGAAATACAAGATTCCCTTCCTGGAGCTGTGGATCTTCCAAGAAGCACCATAAAGCAAAGGTTATTATAATACTTTTCCTTTCCTCTATCAGACATTTGCCGCAGGAATGAATCAAGTGCTAACATTTCACAGATACCTTAAAAGAAGAAATCCGTGGCTCCGATGGCCTTACTTATGGCTGTCATGGCCACTGCAGATATCACAGAATCGTAGGGCAGAAACCTTGGAAGGGACATTAAAGACCATCCTGCCATGGGCAGGGACACCTTCCCTTAGACTAGGTTGCTCCTGGAAGCACCTTCCAACCTGGCCTTGAACACTTCCAGGGATGGAAGTTGCCCAGCTTCTCTGGGCAACTTGTGCCTCATCACCCTGAGGGGAAGTATTTTTTCCCTAATATCTAAACCAAACCTCCTCTCTGCCAGTTTGAAGCCATTCCCCCTTGTCCTGTCACTCCAGGCCCTTGTAAACAGTCTCTCTCCATCTTTTTTGTAGGCTCCCTCCAGGCCACAATTAGAAACAGCACTGCAGTCCAACACACTGGTGACCTGGATCTGACTGACAGCAGCATAATTCAGCTGTGGTCCATAGCAAGGATGGTTATTTATTTATCCAAGCGCCTCCTCAATCCCATGTCAGTGGAAAGCTGCCCTGGGCACCTCTCCAGAGAGCAGTCTTGGAGTGTTCGTATTCTGCCTCAGGATCAGTGATGCTCCAACCACAACACCGCTCTTTCTTTGCCTTCTGGGCATTACAGAAATATAATTACTGAGCTGCATTAGATAATTCCTTGCCCTGGGAGAAAAATTTAAGTGTCTCCCTGGTTTGCAGTGCAATTTTGTTTGAGCTACGGGCATGTAGACACTACCCTGCAAGAAGCTCTTCAGATATCACAGACAGACAAATACGCCCCCACTTTTACTAAACAGACTGGCTCTGGGGGTGGCCCACATTTAAAACCATTTGGTGTCATGTGTATATATAAAATTATATACATACCATATGCTATATCATCACTGGGACCAAAATGAGAACATCTACTGAACACTCATACTGAATATTAGTTTACCCTCCTTAAATAACCTAGGAAAAAGAAGACAAAAGAATGGGAAAACTGTGGGTGCTATTGGCTCTCTCCCAAAGTTATGGTACAACTGCCATGCCCACACGGGCATCCAGACTGGGACAAACTCTCCAGCTGAACCCTGACCAAGTGATGAACCTAAGGAGCCACGATCTCAATTTATTTGTGCCTGTGTGAAATTAAAACAGCACTACTGGTGTTGCTGATATTTCAGTGAAACCAGGTTCTGGCCTCTGTACAACCACATTTTAACATTTTTTTGGAAAGAACAGCTCTTTCTATTTTCCTTTTTCCCACAGAGCAAATAAGCTTTGGGCTCTCACTGCGCCAAATAAAACAAAGTTATGCACCACCGGTCCAGAAAAAGAAAATGTCCTAAAATGATTATATCTAACAAAATTAAATTCTTATTAGAAAAACAACGGCCTGCTGGTGTTGAGATAATTACACTGAGAAAAATGCTAAAGAGAACAGTTAATTGGAACTGGATAAATTTAGCCAGGAATACAAACAAACGTATGTTGCCAAATGGAGACAGAGGACTCCTCCGTGGTCCCTGTGTGGCTGGTGTGTGTGGAGGGTTATTGGCAGCAACAGTGGCAAAATAAATTACCAGATTTCTAGAGGGTTTGTAAAGATTAATAAAGGACAGTGCATCCCTCAGACTGTGCCATGGCCATCTGCTCTGGTATTTTTCTTAATGCTCTCGGACCTGAATTCTGCAAACCCTGGGTCAGTTTTCTGGCCAACAGGGATAACTCTGCAGTTATGTGTCACCTCTCACAGCCTCGTGGACAGTCCCCATGTGCCCGGGCTCAGCCCCTTCCCGTGCTGCCTCTCTGTTCCTCCACCTGAGCATCTGGGAGCTGCACAAGATCGGATGCCTTTTTACCCAAACAGGCACGGGGATTTATAGTCTCAGAACTTTAGCTGGAATTTGTGTCAGATAATCAGATTGCCGACTGCCTAATCGTTACTTACTGACAGCTATTTAAAGTCTAATAAGTCTCCCCACTAACAACCTCCCCGTCCCCCTGGACAGCCAGCAGATGTTCTGCTGGCACAGCTGCTTCTCCCTGTCCTGGAAAAAGACATTGTGCTCCCAACCTTAAGCCCCACCATGGCCCGGGCATCCTTTGGGAAGCAAAAAGCTCTTGGGAATGGTCCTATGCAGGGCTAAGAGTTGGACTCGATGATCCTTGTGGGTCCCTTCCAACTCAACATATTCTGTGATTCTATGAAATCAATCCCTTGTGCCTTGTCTGTGACACGGTGCAGAAGAGATGAGCATGGAGTGATGTGCTGGAGCCCTGGGAGCAGGAGGGGCAGGCACAGCAGGCAAAGGGAGTGACCACCCCATGCCCCTGGACGTGCTCCTCTGACCACGCTCCTTTCCCCCTGGCACAGGGAGAGGGTTCCTTCTGCACAGGGACTGCCACTGCAGAGCATCGGGGCTTGGGAGTCTCTAAAACATCATCTCTCTCGAGGGATTGTGCTAATTTGATGTCTGAACAGTACATTAATGTTAATTAATGTTTGTAAACGGCGCAACAAGCATCTGTCACTCTGGTGCTCCAACACTCTTTGGATACATCTGCTTTGCTTTAGCCCTTATTTAGCAGTGATTATGGGGGATGTTTGAATTCCGGTAAGACGAGCGTTGGATGTACAAACACACACAGTCAGGGCTGGTTTGTCGTGTGCAAATGTTTGGAACACACCAGGCAAACAGTGCCCAGCAGAGACGCAGCCTTTGGGGGAAGCTTCCCAGGCTGGGATACAGCCAGGGGGGTAGATGAAGCAGAGAGCCCAACACAGACATTTTTGTTTCTCTGTTTGTTTCTCTGTTGCTTCCCCCTCCCACCCAAGACTTCGAGAAGTAACTGTATTGCAAATTGTACTGCAAATATTGGAGAAGAAAATTGCCTTTTCTGACGGGTTAACTGTATTGGAGACTATCAGAGCTTCTTGGTCTGCTTATATGCAGTGCAATTATTTTTATTGCACAGGCACAAAGAATGGACGTGTATGCATAAAACATGCAATAAATAAATAATTCAAGGATAAATCTTTCTATTATATTAGAATATCAAAGAGATGATGAAAGAGCATAACACAGTGGCTGGAAACTCTGGATTCAGTGAGCCCTGAGATACCCCTGCTACCTTGGAAAAACCCTTTTTCAGCTGAGACTGAAAGTGGCTCTAAGTCTCTGCAGTACTTGGCTCCCTGAGCAGTAAAATCACTTTATCCTGTGGTGATTTCTCCAGATTTTCTCAAATGCCTTTGAGAATTAAAGCTGGAATGCTGGCTTGTTTCTTTCTTTTCCGGAAGCAGCAGTGGAAACAGATACAAGATATTATCAGATAAAAGTATTTTCAACTTGTGAAAAGTATTTTTAACTTTGTGAAAATGTTAAAGGGAATGACTTCCAAACTGAGTCCTGAGGATTAGATTAACCACCCAGTTTTCTTAAAAAACCCCTCAAAACTCACAGTTGCATGCCCTGAAACAAAACAGAAGGCAGGAAATAGATGAATCATGGAAAAAATACCAACTAGAAGCAGCACACTGCCATAAAGTCTGAATGAACACGAGGGAAACAGCCAGAAAAAATTGAATCAAACCCTGTGAAGGAAGCAGAGCTGCCAATGCTCCTCCACCTGCCAGGACCAGAGAAGCACTGGGGTTGGAGAACAGATCAGTAATGGGCTGAGTCATCCTTCCCTTCACAGAAACCTAGTCATTCATCTACCTTGTTCTGCTCTTCTCAGGGCCATCCACTTCTACCTCCTCATCTATTCTGTCCTCTTAGCACTTTTTGGGTTCTTACTGAGGAAAAAAACAACCCCAAAACAACTAAAAATTGTGGAAGAAATTGAAGTTTCTACCGGCAACCTTTAAAACCCAAGTCTGGGGTCTGTATCCCTAATGCATTAACTCTGAGCCACACATTCTGATTGGCAAGGCTGTCCCAACCCCTTTGCCACCCCAGACAAGGCTGTCTCAGGATGGTGGATCAGTGGGTACAGGCAGCAGGAGCAGGAGCTCATGACGTGGTGGGGGTCTGCAAGAGATCAGGAGAAACGGGACAGCCTCCTTTCTGTGCACCCCACATGGGATGTTCCTCATCCCCTGCAGGTGTTGGAGATCGGGGGTGAAATAACATTTTCCCTTCATGCCCCCTTCTCTACCCAACCCCCTGTAGCTAATTAAGAGCCTGGAGAATCAAAGTCCAACATTTCACAGAGCAAGGTCACATCCAGAGCACAGTGCCCAACATCTGCTTTCCTGGTAATTGGCTCAAAGTGGCAATTTGTCAACATTTTTGAGATAACAAGCTTCCTATTTGTGTTCCAGCCATCTAAACGTCCAGATAAGGGAAGAAGCCGTAGCTGTTTGACGTCAGCTTTCCTCTGGATACAAAACTGCCCGTGCTGGTGCCCCCTCTCCCACCACAGAGCTGTGCTGCCCATCAACGGGAGGTTAATCAACTATCTTTTGAAGTCTGGCTCCACACAGACTCTCTGGATGAAAGATGCTCTTTAAATATCAGTTGTCACAATGATGAGAATGATTACGGTTATTTCAGCCATATTAGTGATACTCAGTAACAGTATTTTCAACAGTATTGAAATCCCCACACAGAACTCAAACAAAAGCTGTAAATATTGTTAGAATAGCTGGTCAGAATGTTTTCTACTAACTATTTATCTTGTGAAAAATTCTTGCTATTCTGTATGGGAAGTTCTGCCCTTTAACCTGGAAAACTGCAGACAACAGCAAAAGAGGAACCAAGCCCCTAGCTTGATCTCAGCATATATCTCATTCCTTTCCAAGTTTTTCTGCACTCACAGGATTCAGACAGCTCTCTCCAAAATCAGCCACTGGGAGAGATTTGTTGCTCTGTGGTGCCCAATAGGTTCATCTTTGCCCTTTGGCTACTCCAGATAACCAAAGGCACTGCAGAGAACTAAAGCACTACAACTATTCCCTGTGCTCTCCTGTTCATACCTGTCCAGCGAGATACAGCACAGGTGCAGGATTGATGCTGTGGTGAGCAGGACATCGAGGGACGTCCGGACCAGGCAGAACATCTCTCCATAGATCCAGTTGTCCTGAACCAACTCAATGGCTCCGAAGGGCATCACCAGCACTGACACCAGCAGGTCCGCAAAGGCAAGGGAAACAATGAAATAATTGGTCTTGATTTTCCTGTAAGAGGGATCACAAAATTAGAGTGGGATAACTTCAGTGCAGCAGCTGAAGATTTGATCTGCACTGAGATTTCAGACAGAGTTTGGGCCTAATTTGCTCCGTCACACTAAAAGGTCGCCCCTAACATGCCCTCACTTTATACAGTTGCCTCTAGGTTGTTGCTGGTCTTTACAGCTAAATATCCACCGTGTTTGCTGTATAAACACATATTTCTGCTCACACAGAAGAGGCAAATAGATGCTCACAGGTCTCTGCATGTGGCTCAGCCCCACAGCTTACACTGGAGTTTGGGGTAGAAGAGGGGGATTTTATTTTAACTTGTAAATTGATAAAATCCTTCCAGAAAGCTCTGAGAATAATCTAGACTGAAGCTGTAATTTTAACTTGAAGAGTACTTTTTAAATCACAACAATAAAATAGAATTAAATCCATTAAAAATCCCACGCAGAACACGAACAGAGGCTGTTAAATACCTCACTCTGCTCCTGAGGCTGGTCTGACAATTCCCAGGGTTAGCAGCAACCTCGAAACGGGAAAACAGGAATTTTGTCTGTGACACCCCCCCCCCCAAAATCATGGTCAACATTTGCCAAGCTGAGGCAGTGCAGCACAACTGCAGCCGGACCTTGATCTTCATGATTTTCTGATGGGCGTGTTGGGAACTATGAGATGGAAAAAAGGGGTAGAGGCCAACCTGCTTCTCCAAGGAATTGCTGCTTAGCTCAGTTTCCACTGGTTTATCTGATTTTCTACACTGAGAATGTTAAAAATGAGGATGGATACTAAAATGATCCCACCACCACAGTGCAGGTGCGAGGGGGGACGCGCGAGGCCAGTGTGAGTCTGACGCTGCCGTGGTGCAACGAACGGCCAGACACCCTTTGTCGTCGCAGTTTATGCCCTCAGCTGCAGGCACGGGGCATTTTAGTGGGGGATTTCCCCGTTCCTCCCTGTGGGAGGGCAGGTGGTGGCCGGCTGGGTGGGCTCACCTGAGCTGCCTGTCCCGGCACACGGCCACCATCACCAGCAGGTTCCCCAGGATGGCCATCAGAATGACGGCGGAGATGAAGGTGAGCAGCACGATCTTCTCCGCTATGCCGAAGCCCTCACTCGAACTGGGGAGCACACAGAGATAAAAGAGAAAAGAAAAGAAGCTGCAGCAGCGCTGGGAGGGGATGGCCCAGGCGGTGCCAGCCACAGGCACCGGTGTTGGTGAGGGTGAGAGCAGCCTCCCGCGCCTGTCACAGCGAGACCTTCCCACCAAGATCCTGAACAAAAAGCATTTCTATCATGTCCATTTCTATCCATTTCCATCCATCAGCACAAAGGCTACAGGTGGAGGATGCCTGCAGTGCCCACGGCTCCCAGAGCTGGATGAGCCACCACAGTGGAGGAGCCCATTTATGAGATCTGGAGTGAGCTGTGCCTGATTTTTGGCAGTCCAGTTCAGAGCCTCTGGACAAGAATGTTTTCATTCTCTTTTCACCCCAATAAATAATGTTATTTTCCATGCAGAAGTATTCTGGTTTTCTTTTCTGCTGTTTTTCCATTTTTGTCCCCAAGGTCTTAGTATCATAGCATCACAAAATAGTTTGGCTTGGGAGGGACCTTAAAGACCATCTCATTCCACCCCCTGCCAGAGGCAGGGACACCTTCCACTATCCCAGGTTGCTCCAAGCCACATCCAACCCGGCCTTGAACACTTCCAGGGATGGGGCAGCCACAGCTTCCCAGGGCAACCTGTGCCAGGGCCTCACCACCCTCACAGGGGAGAATTTCTTCTATTCACCTGAATTTCCCCTCTTTCAGTTTGAACCCATCACTCCTTCTTCTGTCACTACAGTTCCTGAGTTGCTAGGACAAGATCTACTGGGTTCAAACTTTCCTCAAGTGAGCATTTTACATCTTAAATTTTAAAATCTTCTACATAATATTTTCCCTTGTTCTCTCCTTCCTTCACTCTGCCACAAAAGAAGAGGCAGCCCGGCATCTTTTTTTCCTCTTTTTCACGTGGTAACTTCTCCAGAAAAGAAAGGAAATAAAATGTTTTACCAGTGCATGCCCAATTTCCCCCTACCCTAATTCACCTGTCTTGTGTTTGCTAACAAAGAAATTTCAGAGCCTGCATAATACATGCAATAAAAAGTGTCCCAGGTGTTTGAGAATGGGAATGTTTGTTCGTCTTTCCCCATTACAAGGTGTGGCTGGTGGCTGGAAATAAACTGGCATTAAGAGCAGCACTTGACACTAATTCAGCAGGGAAATTTCTTCTCAGCATACGGAGCTGATATTCGACACCCAGGATTAATGCTGAGAGATTGTTCAGGTAATTGAAAAATTGAACTGTTATTCTGTTTTACTTTAACTGCCTCTGGGGTCACTTTTTATTTACTAAATAACATTCCAGGCTTTTTACACTTTATCTCACTGAATTCTCCTGATCTGGGCAAAGCTAAAAATGATTAGAGACTGCTGAAGTCCTGCCTGTGCTATGTTAAGAAGGTTCTAGAGAATGACTTTACCCTGAGCCTGCATTGCAGAACACCCACTTCATCCCCATTTTTGTCCCTAAAAGCCACTCAGAGTATGAGTTTTCCTCCCACTGCCAGTTGCCCCAGTGGGGCAGACTGCAGCCTGCTGATGTTGGATTCTTCATGTGGAATATGAATAATATCATAGGAATTCCTTATTTTTTGATGTTTTACAAGGCAGTACATTACTGGGTATAGGTTCATCCAGGTAGGTGAGGATGTTTATGAGGAAAAAAAAAGAAGAGGAAAAAAAAGAAGAGGAAAGGAGAGGCCCTAGATTCACACCAGTTTCACAGAAAAACCCAGCACTATGCAGATATGTACAGGATCCAAACCATGTGCAATTATATGGGTATAATAAGAAAGAGAATCATAGAATATCCTGAGTTGGAAAGGACCCACAGAGATCATGGAAGTTCAGCTCCTGTCCCTGCACAGAACAGCCCCAGGAATCCCACCATGTGCCTGACAGCATTGTCCAAGCACCTTTAACTGTCAGGCTTTCTCACCTGTGAGAGCATAGGCACCTTTTAATTCCAGATAATCTCCTGTGTTAAAATTAAGAGATTAATAAATGTCACGTAGAGTGGACAGTTGGATGTATCCCACCTCTCTACAAGCTTGTCACCCAACAGAACTGGCCACTGGCCACACAGCTGCTCCTGGAATAGGATGTCACTCCTTCCCCTCTCTAGAAATCACTCTCTCTCTCATCCATCTCCACATACATCTGATCTGAAAGACCTCATTTTCCTCAGACCTTCACTGGATGTTTGGGGAGGGAGGAAGATGGGAGCTGCTGACACATGAACCTGCACTGCAGCAAAGTCCTTTGGAAAAGGTTGAGCAGCTGGTGGGCACCATGCACAGCAGGACACACAGACCACCCGGGGCCCACTGTGTGCTCTCCTCTGCAAGGGGCTGCTGCACAGCTGGGGAGGGCCAGACACTGGACAAGCATCAGTATTTTGGACACAGCTGAATGCCAGAGCCTTCATTAATGATGTTCATCAGCTGAAAAAGACATTGTGAAAACTGAAGGGAAATGGAAAAGAAACAATTTCAAAGTCAGGTCTCAGCCACAGCCCTTCTAGCTGGGTACAGGAACAATGGGGATGGTGGGATCAAAGGCACCTTCACTGAGAGCTGTAATTGTACCTGCCCAAATAACCTTCACAATAGGCTGACACTGCTGCCTGGCTGCATTTGTGAAACAAAATGTCAAACCACAATGAACAGTACCCACAAAAGATGTTCCTCTTCCTCCCAGGTGAGCGTGGCAGCACACACATGCTGGCACAGCAGCAAAGAGGATGATGAGGGTTTAGTTTATACAGAGCCAGGCTGAGTTAGATTTATGTTTTGTCTTATCTAGCTTTGCCCGTCCTTCTGCTGTTCCTAAACAATTCCTATCGCTGTGTTATTTGAGCACCTTGTATCTGTATCTGCAGCGTGTACAGACGGGAGAGACAGCTCCCTCATCCCTGAGCCACGCTGGGGGGGAGCTGGCCATCAGGTGTGGATGGGGCTTCTCACTCCAGCATGCAGTGCCCTGGAAGGGAACATCCTCTCCAGGGAAAAAGCCTATTGCCCTGTACAGAGACCTCCCTCCCTTCCAGCCTCGTCAGCTGCCAAGAGCTGTGCACATGAACAGACACTGAAGAGAATTACCCCCCTTGGGTCTTCTTTGGTGCACAGATTTTGAGTCTTTACTCACCAAAACAATCTCTGGAAATGCCTAGCCCTGAGCCAAATCTCACCAGATGTTGCCCTGCTTGGAGACTGATGTGTTCTTTGACTTCAGCCAGGAACAGGGCCATGTTTTAAGCCCACATTTCCCATCCTGTGCACAAAGGTGATCCTGCCCTGGGGGTGGTGGCATCCTAGTGGCATCACTTGCCTTGGCTGGCCACAGCCCAGGGCAGGGCCATGTTTTAAGCCCACATTTCCCATCCTGTGCACAAAGGTGATCCTGCCCTGGGGGTGGTGGCATCCTAGTGGCATCACTTGCCTTGGCTGGCCACAGCCCAGGGCTCTGAGCAGAGACCAGCAGATCAGGAACACACTGGCACTCTTATCAGTGGAACGTTTGTTCTGATAATAGTTTTGGAAGCAGAGAGAGTATTTCTCTCATGCTATGTTGCATTGCTCCCCTGGGGAACATTAAATAGGCATATGCATCACTGGGGGTGCAGGAGGGATGTTCATCTGGGCTGTGTTGCTGTACATCTGCCTTTTGGATAATCTATCATCAAGTAGAAATACTTGTTAATTATTCAGTCTTAGTAATTCGAAGTTGTTAATAATGGAAGAAGTGGATATTGCTGTAAATTAAAATCAATGGTTTGCATAACATCTTTTATCAAATCTGAGTGCTCTGGCTTCCAAGCTTGCTTCCCTGTTTAATAAAGCAGAGATTGATGGGTTTGCTATTACGAGGAAATGAGCTTCAGGCAAAATGATTGTTGGTTAGTAGGAATATAGAAATCACTTAAGGAAAAAGGTGAAATACTGATGTGGAATGAATGCTTAAAACACACATATGGACATATTTAAAAGGCTCTTCTGCATAGCCATTAACGTGAAGGGAAAAAAAGGGATAATTATTTTTTCAAGCTCAATTTCCACTTTCCTGTAAACACTCCAGCTTTCTTAAATGAACTCAAGTGCTTTCGCATATTTTGTGAAGCAATTAAACTGCATAGATAAGTCATGTTGGTCAGACCATGCACATTGCTCTGGTTTCCATCACACATCACACCCTGACCTCCCCACCACTGCAGCAGGAAAAAGCACTGATAACCAGCTCACTGCTGGGAGCACCTCGGGCACTGCACAGATACTCCTGCAGGAGTGAGAGATGGGAAAGAGAGTCAGGGTTGGATAAATAATGCTCTGCTTTTGGGGGCAGAGGAGCACAGCTGATGAAAAGGTGGCTGGATGGTCCTTTTCCAAACCGGAGGGCAATGACTCTGCCTGCACAGGTAACCTGGGGCATCTCCTGGAGGGAACCAGGGACTGCAGAGAGCACTTTCTAACACGGGATGTGCACAGTTCTCACTGAAGAAGATTAAAAGCTGAGAGCAGGGGTAGCCTAGGAAAGAGCTTTCTTCTTGATTTAACAGTGCCCTCAGTGTACAGGCAATACATGGAAGAGTTGCTTTGCTTTGTTTTCAACCAAGCCATGGCATTTCCCTCAGTAACTCAAGCTGACGTGATATTTCATGGAGGTCTTTAACTACAAATAAGCTGTCATTTGCCTCTCCTCTTTTCTATTCCACTGATTGTTCCTAGGCATAAAATCGGAGGCTGAGTCTTAAACACCTAAAAATCAAGATAAGCTATTTTATGAGTAAACCTGACAATGTGTGTCTCACTATAGAAACATGACAATAGGGAAGATATTATTTGATCTATGGCTTTCCAGCTGTTACCATATTCTTTTCTACTGCCACCTAAAAATATTAATCAGAAGTCAGCATTAATCCAGAAGCATATAATTTCCTCTAATGCCTTTAAATGCTGCACTGCCTGTGCTGCTTCGCTTCAGACCGTGCAGATGGCAGGACAACTCCTAAAGGATT